GTTGCCAACGGCAAGAGCAGCAAGAAGGACAAGAAAGCTGCCGTAGCTGCTCCCGCACCCGTAGAAGAGAAAACGTCCAGCAAGAAATCGAAGAAGGCTGCTCCTCCTCCTCCTCCTGTAGTAGAGAGTAGCGACAGCAGCGACGATGACTCGAGCGACGATGATAGCGATAGCGACAGTGACAGCGACGACAGCAGCAGCGAAGAGGTGAGCATCCAATGAACCTTAGACTTGCTGTTGTGCACAATACTTTCATCTGACACTTTGTGCCGCTCTCTCGTGTGCCAGGAACCCTCCAAGGCAGATGTTGTAAAGCCTGCCGCAAACGGTATTAAGGCCGCAGCTGCCGACTCCGACGATTCAGATGACTCCGACGATTCCGAGGACTCTGACTCTGACTCTGACGAAGAGGATGTTGCCAAGTCTGCTGCTGCCACAAACGGCAAGACTGCGGCTGCGGCTGACGAAGAGGACTCTGACGACTCTGACGACTCGGATGATTCTGACGATTCGGACGACTCTGATGAGGAGGAAACAAAGTCTGCGCCTGCTGCAGCAGTGGTAGAGAAGGCAACCAACAAGCGCAAGGCAGAAGACGATGAAGTGGTAGCGAAGAAGGCTAAGGTCCAGCCTGATGCAGACAACCCTGATGCTCCCAAGCAGTGCTGGGTCGGCCAATTGAGTTGGAACGTCGACAATGACTGGCTCAAGCAGGAATTTGAGGAGTTCGGCGAGGTTCTCAGCGCAAGAGTTGTCACTGACAAAGAAAGCGGCAAATCTCGCGGGTACGTGTCGATCTCCTATGACAGACATGCGCCGCTGCACTTTTACTGATGGGTCCCCTGCCCTTGTCATCCACGCATTTGGCAAATCCAGTTTTGGGTTCGTCGAATTTGCGACTGCAGCCCAGGCGAAGGCCGCGTTTGAGGGCGCGCAAGGCAAGGACGTGGATGGTCGCGCCATCAAAGTCGACTTGCAAGCCGCTAGAGCACCTAGGGAAGTGGGCGATGCGCGCGCCAAAAAGTTCAACGACACCAGGTCTGCACCCTCGCCCGTTCTATTCGTCGGCGGTCTGTCCTTCTCGCTCACGGAGGACGAGGTTTGGGAAGCATTTGGAGAGCATGGCGAAGTATCGCGCGTCACCTTGCCCAAAGACATTGAATCTGGTCGGCCTAAGGGATTCGGCTATGTCGAGTACGCTTCTCAGGAAGGCGCAGATGCTGCCATCGA